ATATTATTCGTGTTAAATGCGCTGAAATTTCCGTGACCACAAACGCCTCCGATGTATTAACACGCATTTATAAAACCCCATTCAAGGTCGACAATGTACCATTAAATTTCGTTAATTCCGACTTAACGTCACTTATAGCGTACGAATTGTTTCATTGCGCATTGAGTACAAATACTTAACGTCTTTTAGTACGCGGTTGTTAACGGGTCAACCATCACAAAGGCGCATTTAACACATTCGGCTAGAAAAACTCAACTCTGAGATATATCATTTTATTTATTCTCGTGAGTTTAACGTACGAATTGTTTTATTGCACATTGAGTACAAATACTTAAGGTGATATGAAAGAGTCAGCTTGTACAATGGCGGACATGAACGCCTTCCCTGCAGATACGGCATCGCCTATGCAGGATGGAAGGGCATTGATATCGCCCAGTGTATATATCTAAGAGCCCAAATCGTTAGGGAAAGTATTCTCCTAATTGGATGAACCGATTTCTTTCAAATTTTACCACGTGAATATGGAAGACCTAAAGTAGGTCCTGAAACTCATGAAATTACACTTTTCATAAAAAAATTATATACTTATCATGGACTAGAACTAACATGGGGTGGTCCGGGCACGTTTTCAATGTTCTACGCTTCTTGGAGGCCTGGAATCGAAAATGAAGAATTTCAGGACCTAACTCGAACAATTTAGAATACCATAGAAATGGAATATTACGAAGCCAGATGGGAAAATATGGAAAATACTTTCATCAACGATTGCAAGAGAATGTTGGCTTGTCTCGGGGCTAACGCGGGTTCTTAGAGAAAAAATTTAGTTTCAGCTAAACGTCACAGATGGCGACGTTGGTCCTAAACAGTCGTTAGAATAATGGATTCACGGGATTCTGACAGTTTTATGTCGATCTTTTTATCATTACTTTACCGAAATGACATATGTAATGCTTCGGTTCGTATAAATCTTAACGTAGACTGTGCAAGACCAACATAAATATAAATGTCGGTAACGTGACGCGTCATCTCCGGTTCCCACTTGAGTATTCAAAACGGCATTACCACCAAGAAGGGTATAGCTGCATTTAATTTAACGACGTGAATTAAATTTCTCAGCGCCTTTCATATCATCTTAAAGTTTTTAGTAGGCGGTTGTTGACGGGTCAACCACCAAATAGACGCATTTAACGTATTCGGCTAGAAAAGTGCAACTCTGAGAAATTGTATCCTCTTCACTCACGTGAGTATAACGTCCATTGTTTCATTGCGCATTGAGTACAATTACTGAACGTTTTTTAGTAGACGTTTGTTCTACAATAGCCGCATTTAACGCATTCGGCTAGAAGAATTCACCTCTGAGAAATTGCATCCTCTTCACTCTCGTAAGTATAACGTCCATTGTTTCATTGCGCATTGAGTACAATTACTGAACGTTTTTTAGTAGACGTTTGTTCTACGAGTCAGCCACAAAATAGCCGCATTTAACGCATTCGGCTAGAAGAATTCACCTCTGAGAAATTGCATCCCTTCACTCTCGTGAGTATAACGTCCATTGTTTCATTGCGCATTGAGTACAATTACTGAACGTTTTTTAGTAGACGTTTGTTCTACGAGTTAACCACCAAATAGTCGCATTTAACGCATTCGGGTAGAAAAATTGAACGCTGAGAAACATTGCATCCTCTTTACGCTCGATAAAGAGCTTCTTCTTTCTGCGTAATTTCCTACGGTAATTCCTGCGAATTTCTCCTTTGACGAGTACGCGGGTGGAGGAGCTCGGGCATTTAGAATGCTTGGCTCTCTGGGCGGTAATATTCGGGGGCTGACGATCGATCGTCGATCGATTTCGGCGCGGATCAATACGGGGTTCCTAATGCCGAGAAGCGCGTTGAACGGCGAGAGGGGTGAAAGAACACGGCGGGAATGAGTTTTGTGCGGCGGCTATGCTGCGGTCTGTGCGTCTCGCTCGTTTTCCCTGCATTGTCCTGGACCGGCGTCGCTCGGTCGACATCTTTTACGAGAACGAGCGACGATTCTGCCCGAAACGACCCTCTTGCCGAGGAGAATCGGTCTTGGTTTTACGATTAATGAGCGGTCGTCGTTCGTCGTCCTTTATTTAACATTCCTTTTAAATCGCTTGCTTTAATAAATATCCGGTCGACTTGTACTCGCGTAGTTCACGTTTTTGCAAGTACGCTTTTGGGGAATTTCCTGTACACATCAGGTTGTCCAGGGTTGTTGCGCTTTTTTGTTATTTGCAATATGACGCTCTGTTTTCAAATAAAGCCAATTTTTCTTTAATGTCCATGTTGCATACCTACTGTTTTAAAGTGCTGATTTCCCTCTACAAGAAAATCAATCGCTCGAATTTGCCATCTTGAATTAAACAGATCAAATGAAACGGAAAGTAATGTCTAAAGCGCAATTATTGTTTCCAAATGTAAAGCTAAGTCCGCGCTTAAAAAGTGGTACGTAACGTGGATATAAAAAAAAGACGAACTTTTTGGACAACCTAATGTACGCGAATTTCAGGAGGAACGCCTTTCATTAAATCGAACACCATTGAAAATACCCGATCGACTCGAACGCGTGGTCTTAAAGTTCATCCAAGACACATTTTTGTAAGATTCTTATACGTATACGTGAATTTCGAGAAACGCGAGTACCAAAGATTGGATACTTTCGAAAAAGTGTATGGATTTAGGAACGGTGCTCTTTGTGAAATGGAGCCAAAATGGAGTCTCTTTGAAGGGTGGTCTTTAAATGGATGGTCGTGTCCTTATTGCACACGAAAGCGCGACAATTTCGAGAACAGACTTCGAAGGACAACCTAATGCACGGAAATTTGAGGAGGAACGCCTTTCATTAAATCGATCACCATTGAAAGTACCCTATCGACTCGAATACGTGGTCTCGAAGTTCTTCCAAGATACATTTTTGGAAGATTCTTATACGTACACATGAACTTCAGGAAACGCGAGTACCAAAGATCGGATACTTTCGAGAAAGTGTATGGATTTATGAACGGTGCTCTTTGTGAAATGGAGCCGAAATGTGGTCTCTTTTAAGAGTGGTCTTCAAATGGATGTTCGTGTCCTCATTGCAAACGAAAGCGTGACAATCTCCCGAACGGACTTCGAAAGACAACCAAATGCACGGAAATTTCAGGAGGAACGCCTTTCATTAAATCGATCAACATTGAAAATACCCGATCGACTCGAATGCGTGGTCTCAAAGTTCTTCCAAGATACATTTTTGGAAGATTCTTATACGTACACGTGAACTTCGGGAAACGCGAGTACCAAAGATCGGATACTTTCGAGAAAGTGTATGGATATATGAACGGTGCTCTTTGTGAAATGGAGTCCCTTTGAAGGGTGGTCTTCAAATGGATGGTCGCGTACTTGTTGCAAACGAAAGCGCGACAATCTCCCGAACGGACTTCGAAGGACGAACGAGTTTCGCTGGCAGTTTCGCCATCTCTCCCCGGCAAGAGAGTGATTCCTCCCGACCCTAACTCTTTGACGTGCCGAAGTTTCGGTTGGATGATACAGTCCCGTTTTCCGAAGGTGGCAAAGCCCGAACTTCCTCGGCTCGGTGAACGAAGTTCCATGGACCTGGAACGAAGTTCGCGATATGGAACACTTACCATTGTGCGAGCGATAGTCGGCCGCAACTTCGGCGGGCGTTTGTCTTCCAAGACGGCGGACGAAAGCACCTTGAAGGATACGAGACGCTCCGTATTTCCCTGCGAGACGTTTACGGATTTCCCTGCGAGTCAAGGTTTCGCAAACGCAGAAGTGCCATACCTGAGGAATTCCACAGGAATTCACGGATAAGGGGTTATCGCGACTATTCCATGCATAACTTCGCGACGAAAACTTATCTACCGAGGCGGTGCGAAACCGCCGGCGAAATTTCGTAGAGATAGCGTGAGACCAGAGATGAGCAGAGAGATGTTTCACACCATTGTCGAAAGGGAGGCACGGCTTCCTAGCGTCGTGGAACTGCTTTCAAAGGGGCGAAATGTTCTCTGTAGGTAAAGAAAAACCCATCTGATCAGATTTCAAATACAGCGCAGTATCGATAGAATGAAGTTATCGCCTTTTTGTTTTTAGTATCAGGGTCAACGGAGGTTCGGAAGGAAGACTACGAATACCAAATAAAGTTGATATGCGTGGATGATTGAGATTACGACGCCGCACCCACGTATACCCTGTTTTATCGATCACGAAGATTTCGCCCCTTTGAAAGTAGTTCCAATTTTTACAGAGGTGTAAAGGACGTAGAGGGCGCCATGGGGCCGTGCCTCCCTTTCAGACAATGGCGTTAAGGCGAAGTGAAACCCCCTTCAAATCAGTTGATTCGAATACAACACTTTTTTTTAAGGGGATTGGACCAAACTGTCCGAAACTTTGACACATGATCATCTATGAATTGTCCTGACACATTCAAAGTTTGGATTTTGCAAAAAAACTTTTTAACTTAGCCCAGACTAGAACGAAAATGGCGTCGAACTCTCATACTTCGATCAATATACAATTATTGAAGGCTCTGATATGAGAAACGAAAGAATCAGGACAATTTTATGACAATTTAGAACACTCTGGTAATCGATAAACTCGCATTTCAACGAGATAAAGGCAAAAAAAGTGTTTTATGCGCTTCTATGCCAAAACGATGAGAATACGAGGTCTCGGAGTGAAAGTTTTGTTGACCTGGAAATCATAGATGGCGCAGGGGGTCTCTCTGCAGTCAATTAGGGCCCCAGAAAGCATGAATCCAGAGTATTTCTGTAGTTTTACTTCGATTTCTTTATAATTATTGTATGAAAACGTCAGGTGGAGTAAGCCATTTGGTACAATCCCCAATATAATTCGACCCAGCTGTCAATATAAAAACGAACGTCGACAACGTAGGCATTTAGAAAAATCTTCTTTATCGACGTCGATCAAGTTCCTCGACGTGTTTCACTTCACCTTAAACATTCCCCGCTCATCTCTGGGGAGACTAATGGCACATTACGACGACCGAAACGTGTCTTTGAGTGTTGCAAAACTGACGACTAAATCGTTGATATGAGCGCGACACTAACAATAAGCTGTGCAAAACCAACAAAGAAATTGTATGACCCCAGCTCAATGCAACGCGAGACTAATGGCGGATTACGATAATCAAAATGCAAGTCCAAGCGTTGCGAAATCGACGGCAAAATTGTTAGATCCGAACGCGACACTATACTGAGCGAAAGAATCACTTTTTAATTAAAAAGAGATTCTCGTGTTAAATAGATCTCTACTCTCGACATCGTAAGAGGGAAGAAATTTCAAACAATCTAGAAACAATCCGCGACTTTCTTAAGTTCAGTTTCACCAAGTCCGTTTAACTCGTTATCGTTACATTTTCTGCGGATAAACGGGAGAAAATGGAGAAATATGGTTTACACGAACGTACGTCCGTGCTCGATAACGCGTCGCTACAAAGACCGTTTCCCTATAAAAAGATTTCCCGAGGTCTCGTTCCCAATTTTCCCCGATCAGGATCCAAAATAATTAGCGACCCTACATAGTTTGGAAGCAATTTTGCAAAACCATCGTCAAAGTCGCACAACCTGTACGCGACAGTAAGTGGCATGAAATCGACGTCAGCATTTTAAAACGCGAACACGATTCTAGGCAAATTACGAAGTATCCATGCAATGGATACAACTCATTCCAGGAATTGAGTGGCAAGTTTCGCACCATTTCGAATATTTTATCCCCGCGCGGGAACGCCTCGGGAAAAAATGGAGAAAAATGGTTTACACAAACGTACGTCCGTGCTCGATAACGCGTCGCTACAAAGACCGTTTCCCTATAAAAAGATTTCCCGAGGTCTCGTTCCCAATTTTCCCCGATCAGGATCCAAAATAATTAGCGACCCTAAATAGTTTGGAAGCAATTTTGCAAAACCATCGACAAAGTCGCACAACCTGTACGCGACAATAAGTGGCAGGAAACCGACGTCAGCATTTTAAAACGCGATCACGATTCTAGGCAAATTACGAAGTATCCATGCAATGGATACAACTCATTCCAGGAATTGAGTGGCAAGTCTCGCACCACCTCGAGTATTTTATCCCCGCGCGGGAAGGCCTCGGGAGTAAATGGAGAAAAATGGTTTACGCAAACGTACATCCGTGCTCGATAACGCGTCGCTACAAAGACCGTTTCCCGATAGAAAGATTTCCCGAGGTCTCGTTCCCAATTTTTCCCGATCGGGATCCAAAATGGCGAAACCCCCTCCATGAATCCGTCTCGGTTTGAGTCGGGATGAGAGGCCTACCGGTAAGTTCCGCTTGCAGAGGAGCAATGTCTCAGTCTTGTTTACAGTACGTGCAGGTTCTCGCAGCTCTTCGACTTGCTGTCCCTCGCCCAGACCTTGCCCAACAGGCTGCGGACTTTCAGGCTGGCGCTGGTCCGACTGCCCCGGTACTTCTTCGGCGAGTTGTTCTCCGAGCAGGAGCCCAGGGGCGATCTGCTGCGGTTCTTCCGCGACCGTTTGCGGAAGAGGTCGCGCGTCCGCTCCGGGTTCTCCAGCTTTAGGCGAATCTGAGTCAGCAGGCCCACCAGGAGCTCGTCCACGTTGTGGTTGATGCCCACCGAGGTCTCGATGAACTTGCAGTCGTAAGACGTCGCCATGGACTTGCCCTCTGGAAAGATGAATTCGTTCCTTTACTTCGTTGCAAGCAAATCGCTACCGTACCTGCACTGTTAAAAGAAAAGTATTATAATTTTATAGCATTTTTCTTGGAACTTTTATTCAGACACGATGTACTAATTTTATAGCATTTTTCTTGAATATAAAATGTATAACACATATTATAAATTTAGTACATATGCGTAATAAATTTATAATATATGGTATCAATTTTAATTAAATATTAATTAAATATTTCTCGGACTCAAGAATATCGCTACGATGCTTCTCGCCAGTATCACCGATACTTGTCATCTTTCGATTAAATTTCTTTAGAAATAAACTTACGTAAACGATCGTAAAATTAAAAACTAATCTAAAAAAGTTGCAAACAATGCGTACTAAATGACTTTCGAATATCAAATTTATAATTTCTCTCCGCAATTTTACAAAATTACAACACGGTGTTATAAAATTGTATATTTACCTAGAATTTTATTATAAATGTATACGAATTCACTGTTAAGATATCAAATTTATAATTTTACTGCAACCTTATGTATTAAAAGTGTTTGAATTTTTTTTAATAGTGTACGTTTATCGTACTCTATATGCTCAGGAAACAGTTCAAACTTTTTGCGAGAACTTTTTCATCACCTTGAACATATCATCTCATCTTTATTTATTACTAAGCGCTGTTTTCGTCTTTATGTATGTCCCTAGTAGCATAGAATAATTTCTAAATATTTGTTTGTAATCTTTGCTATATATCTCAATGACATATTTAGTTTCAATAATTTATAAACATATATAGAAATTATATTTTTTAATTTATGAACATATGATAAAAATACATATCTTTTACTTCACGACTATTATCGGACACTTCATTTGGTATAAAAAAACACGAAATTTTTGTAATATTTTCGTTCCGCTATTTCATTATCGGAGCAAAACGTGTGAATTTGATTTTAAATATTGTTAAAACGTTTATAATGTATTCGGCAGATAATATTCAAAAAGTACTTGTATTCAAATGAAACGAAATGTTTTGTATATCTGGTAGAAAAATTTTATGAAAGCACACGGAGCTAATATTATATAAATATTACACGGATAATATTCTAAAGTAAACCTTTTGCAAATATTTCAAATGTCTGGTAAATATTTACAAAATGTACGACATTCGTTAAATATATAGAAAATATAGGACAAATATTTTGTGCTACTAGGGGTATGTCACGAAACCTACCTCACGCGATTTCGATGGGTTCCGACCCCCAAATAAAAAATCCCTGAATCATGTCCTTAAATCAACCCCGAGGATCTCATAAAAACTATCATATCCAAAAAATTCGGATCGCACGATCGAGTTTCGGCAATCGGTTCGCCCCTCTAGGGTGTATATATTATGACAGGCAATATATTTATATTATTTCTATACGGGTTGCGGGAAAAGTTTTTGTACAAAGTACAAGTAATAACCTTAAAAAAAGTGTTGTATTCAAATCGACTGATTTGAAGGGGGTTTCACTTCACCTTAATCGGGAAAATTATTAGGAATTTCAGTGCCGAGATTTTTTTCGATCGCCCCACATTATCCTTTGACTTACTTTCGAGAGTTCCCTTTCAACATTCAAAAAGGTTCTCTCTCCAATCTTCGTCGTTTCTCCGAGGGAAATCTTTCTTCTCTTAAAAAGCCGCGCTCCGAACTTTCACCGGAACCACTTTCAGCGAATGACCGTGGTAACGCAGTCCTCCATGAAACTTGGGGCTGCGAGATTTCCTGAGAATTTTCATGGGATTTTTCGGGGGTTCTTCGAGCGAGAAGCCCGTTCTTCGGCGAGCTCGCCTCGAGTTTGACGAATGAAAAGTTCCGCACGCTTTCATCTCGCCCGATCGTCTTTAACGCATTTGGCTCGCCCTCTTTCCTCGCGATTCGTTTTCTCCTTTACTCTCTTTTCCCCCCTTCGTCGCGGCCGGGTGGAAATTCCCCATGGCAGCTCCAGAGAGAAGCTTTCGCCGAGGGGGAGCCCCCTCTCGGGGGCGTTTTCCACAGCTCGCGAATCGCGACATCGTAAAGGGTATCATAACGAAACATTCATTCCCGTGGAGGTGTCATCTCCGCACCCCCCGACAGAAATCGAGGCTCTGCTAACGGATCGACGTCGCCGTTTCGCCGCTGCAGCGAAATTGTTCCTCTCAGGGAGGCACGAGATGCTTTACCGAGGGAATATTAGAGGGTAATTGGTCCATTAAATAGTTTTACGACTATCGGACTGGGGCTTTGCGCGACATAGGAGAATCACGCTACGGGGGACTCGAGGAGAGATTTCCCGGCGATGGAAGGTATAAACGGCTCGCTGTGACAAGCTTTTGAATTTTCGATGACACTCCTCGCTTGAACATTTTAACTCTCGGTAGAACCACATCAGGTTGGGAGGACTCTGATTTGACAGAATTTTCTTGACGTCTGTTAAAAGGATACTGAAGTCCATTAAACCATTTGCATCATTAGCGTATATATACGCTCAGTTTTCCTGGTCACTATCACCGGCGCGTGTATATGAGCTCAATTTTGCTGGTAACTATCATTCAGCCTGAAATTTCGGTGATAAGGACCCTCTTTTCATACTTCCTTATGATGCAAATGGATTAACCCTTTGGCTACTAAGAGTGCCTAAATGCGCCCCACGTTTGCTCCAATATTGCCTTCACGGTCAGACGAATTTCGCCCATATGTCGAGATGGCTCCGTGTTCAAAGGGTTAAAAGGACTTAAGATGATATGAAAGGCGCTGAGACATTTAATCGAGGTCGATAATTTAAAAAACCAAAAAGGCCAAAAACCAGTTATGTCAATTTTCGGATCAATAGGGTCACCAAAGACTTATCAGAGTCTGTCAGGATCATGAGTGCTGTCAGTCTTGGTGGTCCCCTGTCTCATTCTCATTCTAATTCTAATTCTAAAAATATCCCAAAACGCCATATCAAATATATCTAATATCCTAAATGTTCAATGTACTTGACTATAAAATTCATCGAATACAGATTTCACTTTTATTTGAGGAAGTCAAAAATACAGCAAATTAAGAGTAAATGGAATATATGATTGATAAAGATGAATCCAAAAGAAGTTCGTTGAGAAGTTAAAAAACAGTAATGCTCCCTAGATCTTTCAATTCTGGTCTTGTACCAACTTTGGTCATACGTTTCAATTATTCATCGATTAGATTTTAAGTAAATTATAAACTTATGTCAACGAGTTAGGTATTGATGTCACCGCCCTGGTCAGTATCAAGGACCCTTAAGATTCTTTATCACTTAGTTATTTATTTAGTAGCACCCTCCGAGAAACACACTTTTCAAGTTGATGCTGATTCGTTAGGTCAGGGTCAATTCGAAGGATTTCCAATTTGACACAACTTTTCTACCGTTCGTTAGGATTCCTCCTTTAGCGGAAAAGCAGTCGGTCGGGAAACATTCTGTTTGCGTGGGTGTATGTATCTGTTAAGCCGTGCTTGATTGGAAGGGTCTCTAATTTGGCGCAACTTTTTTGGTGTTCTTTGGTTCCCTCTTTGTGGGAATAGATGACGGCAGAGGAACACTCTTTTGACATAGTTTTGGGCTGTACAAGGTCGCATGCTATTCGAAGAGTCGTTAATATCGTATTGTTCCCTTTGTTAAATTCAGCCCTTTATTGGAACAGATATCAGTGGGGTGAAACTTTTTCGACTGTGTGTTTGTATCCGTTAGGTCGACTCAAAAGCTCTTCAACTCGGTATAACTTTGATGGAGTTCATTAGATTCTTTCATCGGAGCACGTGCTCATGAGAGATAACTTTTTGGCACAGTTTTGGGCTGCGTTAGGTCACGACTAAATCAATTTTCTCATGATGTATCGTACCCAAGGTGTTAGATGTATTCCGCCATTGACAACGGAATAGATTGGGCAAAACTTTCTTTCGTATAGGAGTTTCTTTTCTGTTTATTTGCGCCTGATTCCGGTCTCCAATTTGACAGATCCTTTTTGGTTTTTATTACGTTCCTTTACTTATCGAGGATGATACCACAGATCCTTTTTGATATTTATTACGTTCCTTTACTTATCGAGGATGATACCATTAGGAGAACATCCTTGCCGCGGGGGTATTGGTCTCTGTTGGGACGTTTCACTTTGAAGAGTCTCCAATTTAAAACAACTTTTCTACCCTTTCGGTAAGTTTGCTTTTTATCGGGAAAGATGTGGACTCCTCGACATCCTTTTTGCACGAGTGTGCGTTGGGTTACGAAGATCAGAAGGGTCTCCAATTTAGAATAACTTTTCTGACGTTTGTTAGATTCGCCTTTTCCTTGGGGAAGGATGCTGACCAAGGGTCAACCTTTCCGCACGGTTTAAGTCTGTATCAGGTCGGGCCCTTTTCGACAAAATATGTGATTGCGTGTCGTTTCGTTGACGCTTATTAGATGTGTTCCTTTATTGCGAACGATATCGATCGGGCAAAACTTTTTCCGCGTGGGTGTTCAAGTCCATTGTTTTGCACCCGGTCCGGACGGTTCCGATTTGCTACAACTTTCATCACGTCTTTTAAGTTCCTTTATTTGTAAAGGATGAGACAATTTGGAGGACAATCTTTCCGCACAGATATAATTCTTTGGTAAATTGCGTGCGATTCGAAATGTCTTTGGCCACTTAAGGTGTTATGAAAGGATCATCTTAAACATATCAAAGCGTCGGAATATTTAAAACACTTTTCTCCAAACTAACAAGGAAAGTATCCCAGGTCGATCTCTCCGATTGGATTTCTTTTATAATATGTTATAGTAGACTAAAAACTAAGCGACACGTATTTTTTTTAATCTGCCATTAAACACTTTAAGGGGGTGAAACCACCATCCAAAGTAAGGCATGTCAAGGGGCGATTTGGCAGTTTCACCCACAAGAACATAATATTTTTTAACCAATCCACCTGGAAAAGCTTTCTCATAACGAGAAATGAAGAATATAATTTTCTCAATAAAAAAAAATTAAGGGGTGAGCCACCCCTCACAGGCCTTACTTTGGATGGTGGTTTCACCCCCTTAAAGTGTTTAATGGCAGATAAAAAATACGTGTCACTTAGTTTTTAGTCTACTATAACATATTATAAAAGAAATCAAATCGGTGAGATCGACCTGGGATACCTTCCTTGTAAGTGCACCGAATCATTCAATCCATCCAATTCCATTCAATTCCATCCAAAAAATGTATTTAGTACAATACTCAATATAATTCGACACATCTGCCAACATAAAAGCGAACGTTAGTAATCTAGGTATTTAGAAAAAACGTTTTTACCAACGTCGATCAAGTTCTTCGACGTGTTTCCCTTCACCTTTAGGGAGCTAAATAGGAAAATTCCATTTAAAAAATGTATTTAATACAATACTCAATATAATTCGACACATCTGCCAATACAAAAGCGAACGTTGGTAATCTAGGTATTTACAAAAACCTTTTTTACCAACGTCGATCAAGTTCTTCGACGTGTTTCCCTTCACCTTTAGGAAGCTAAATAGGAAAATGCCATCCAAAAAGTGTTCACCTTCCGTAGAGATGAGCCTGCAGCGCGCAAGGTCGATCTTGTTCCCGACGAGAATGACAGCTCTGGCGGACACGTGGTCGCTTCTCCACAAAGTCTGCAGGACTTCTTCGGCAATGCGGACCGAGGCCCTGTCCGTCGTCGAATAGACGACACAGTAAGCGTGTGGCTCGTAGGTGGCGATGCACTTCTCCGGCTGCAACAAAGACGTACCCAATTACGAGGTGGAGCGTAAACCGAGATATATCGATTAACCCGAAAGGCGTCTAACGCACTTTTCAACGTTTCCCGACGCTTTTCGACACTTTCCGAGCACCCTCGCCTTGCGAGACTTGGATATAGCGCGTTGATCCGTAATCGCGTAAACTGATTCGATCCGAGAAAATTGGCCGAGCTTTTGATTCGGTTTGGCTCGAACGGGCTCCAATTGGAGGTTAGGATCTGAGTTGTTGCTACGCCAGTCTTGTATCTCGAGAAAACCGAGTCCGTGAAAACTTCATCGATTAGGTTAGGTGAAATTCGCTGCTGAAATGAGAGTACTCTACCCCGTTTATTACCCAAGTGCAGGGATAGACAAGCGAATCAGGTTTCCTTTTTTTTTTTTAGAAATTTGCAAAAGATTCAATTACTTTTGGATTGGAATCTATTAGACTAATAGTTTCATTGTAAAAGTCGTGAAAAGACTTGGAAAATCTGTTGGGCGTTGACTAGTGTTCATGATACAATCGAGGTATGAGTATTTGGGCATGAAGGAGCGCATACGCGACGATGCTTTTATGTTTTAATGAAACGAAATGTTTGAATGAAATTTTCGAATGATTCAATTACTTTTAGATTGGAATCCATTCGTCTATTAGTTTCATTCTAAAAGTCTTGAAAAGACTTGGAAAATCTGTTGGACGTCGACTAGTGTTCATAATACAATCGTGGTATGAGTATTTGAACATGAAGGAGCGCATACGCGACGATGCTTTTATGTTTTAATGAAACGAAATGTTTGAATGAAATTTTCGAAAGATTCAATTACTTTTAGATTCGAATCCATTCCACTATTTGTTTCATTCTAAAAGTCTTGAAAAGACATGGAAAATCTGTTGGACGTCGGTTAGTGTTCATCATACAATCGAGGTATGAGTATTTGGGCATGAAGGAGCGCATGTGCTACGATGCTTTTATGTTTTAATGAAATGAAATTTTCGAAAGATTCAATTACTTTTAGATTCGAATCCATTCCACTATTTGTTTCATTCTAAAAGTCTTGAAAAGACTTGGAAAATCTGTTGGACGTCGACTAGTGTTCATAATACAATCGAGGTATGAGTATTTGGACATGAAGGAGCGCATGCGCGACGACGTTTTTATGTTTTGATGAAACATATACCCTTGCAGCATTTGTATGGGTACACCGTTTGGACTAATGTCACCAGACAAACTGTCCCAAACTATAGCTGACACGCAAGTGTTAACACGCACTATTGCAAGATTTGCGTTAAGAAAACAGAAAGTTTAATCCCTCGTTTAGAAGAATTGTTTGAGGCGTTTTATTGGGAGATTATGTAAATTGTACGATAGGTACCGCTGTAATTGAAAACTTGCACAACAATTTCAATCCAATAAGGAATTAACTCGCCGGAGGCAGGGCTCCTATTCTAGGACTGTCGTCAGGAGATTAAACTTTTTACTATATTGAAGTCCTGTCTACCGAGTACCAGTTGTATCATTGACAATTTTAGGATACCGAATGATTTTGTTGGCTGATGGTCAATAAGTTAAAATCCAAACAAGGAAATGGTGACGTCTCCTTTTTCTCTATTGTGCTACAACTTTCACACTTGTGGTATGTGTCGGCAAAAAGACTCTACTCTAGATATGAATGTGCTTTTCTAGTGTCACTACGAATGTGCACCTTATTGTTAATAATCTGCAATTTAAAACAAGTTTATTGAAGCGCTGCTAGTTAGCTTGCACGACATTTTTCGAAGGCACTTGCTCTATGCATTCCACTTTCTTACATATTGTATTTAATGTATTTAAAATGCTGAAATAAAAAATTATACCCTTCTCATATTAGGATAATCGGATACGAGGATCGAGAATAGAAATTAGATTTTATTCTCGCTAAAACCATTCCGATTAATTAGAAACTTTCCAACCGATATTCATAATTTTCGAGACGAAAATGACTAATTTTCCCAACGATTTGAAGTTCTTTTAAAGTATCTAAAGCTAGGCGAAGAGTATTGAGGCCATCAACACTTTCGGGGGACTCGTTCAACCTCTTGAAGTGATTTCAATGACGAAGGATCGCCGTTCGGTCAGCGATTCCTTACTTTGGTGCTCTTATATGGATTTCACCGCGGTCGTTCCTGTGCATCCTAGACAAACGTCTACTTCCCTTTTCACGAAGAAGAAGGAGAAACCATTTCCGGAAGATGCACCGAGTTAATTTTGTGGGCTAGGGCAGGAACCCTGCATCTCTCTTCCTCTCAGAGTGCCCATTCAAAGGGCCTTTCAGGAATCGAACTTCCGAGGGAAGTGCATATCGATAAATCTTTCGGGTCTGCCGTTTACGGCCGCAGTGCGAATGCAGGAGCGTTGCTCCTGTCGGGCCAACCACCATAAAACTCGGAAGTACGTCACTTTATCGCAGGATACCCCGAAGCCTCTTAGACACTCCGTACAATACGACGCGGTGCATTCGTCTCCGAGATAATCGCGAAACCTGACAGTTCGCAAGTGGAGAACGGAGAGTTGAATGACGATCGCTTCCATACATTGCGGATTGAAGGTGACGATAGTAGGAAAAGGATAAAGAAAGTATTATATCCTGACAAGCTGATAGCAATGGACGCCTAGGTTCTTCGAATAAGGGGAGTTTCACTTCACCTTAACACCAAGGATTCGAATTTCAGAAATGGGAGAATGAGAAATACAATTTCTCGATTTTTTTATAGCGAATAAATATTTTATTGAATTATATATTGTCCATTCCGGTCCAATACCTTTTGCCATCTTTCTGGCAGTAGCATGATTCCACGCTCATAAAATGTTTGGTTTTTGCTGTCAAAAAACTGATCCAGGTGATTTTTCACCTCCTCATTTGAAGTAAAGGTTTTACCGTCTAAAAAATTTTGTAGAGACCGGAACAAGTAATAATCAGAAGGTGCCAGATCTGGAGAATATGGTGGGGGTGGCAGTATATCCCATCCAAGCCGTAGAAGCTTTTGGCGAGTTAAGAAACTTGTATGAGGTCTCGCATTATCTTGGTGAAATGCTACACCTTTTCTATTGATCAATGCTGGTCTCTTCTGTTTAAGTGAATCATTCAATTTGTCCAGCTGGTGACAGTACACTTCAGAATTGATCGTTGGGTTGTTCGGTAGAATCTAAAAAAAAAACAATTCCTTTGAAATCCCACCAAACAGATACCATCACCTTTTTTTGATGAATTTCGGCATTCGAAGTTCTTTGAGTCGGTTCATCTTTTTTACTCCATGATCTCTTGCAGGTAACATTGTCGTAGACAACCCATTTCTCGTCCCCAGGGATGATGCGCTTCAAAAATGGATCATTTTCTTGATGTTTGAGAAGCAAATCACAGACGTCAATGCGATGACACAAATTTCTTTCCGCAAGAACATGAGGAATCCATATGTCGAGCTTTGAGATTAAACCTAGGCGTTTCAAATGATCACGAACCGTCAAATTCGATATTTTTAATCTCTCAGCGATTTCACGAGTTGTTATTCGCCGGTTTGCATCAATTAATGCCTTTATCGTGTTTTCATCAGCTTTAAGTGGCCTTCCAGGACGTGGTGCATCTTCAATATCAAAATTGCCGCATCGAAATTTTGCAAACCAGTTTTGACCCTGGCGTTCTGTCAGTACATCTTCTCCATACTCATTGGATAATTTTTTTCTTGCTTGAACAGCATTTTTACCTTTTCGATAGTAAAAAAGTAAAATATGCCGAAAATGGCGCTTTTCACTTTCCATATTTGAAAGGGTACCAACCAAAAACTACTGCGTAGAATCAGTCAAACTTTTTCATAAGCAAGCCTTGCTAGATCAGCTGTCAAAATATATAACGATTATGCGGCTTAACTGTGATGTTGGCCGTGAAAAAAAAAATTAAGTCCTGTGTTGGGAAACAACGAAATTACTTTCCGAACAACCCAATAGATTGGTGGTCGAAAGAAGGTGGACGGTTCTTAAAAAAAGGAAAAAATATTTGATCAAGAGTAATTAATAGAATGGAACTGTCCCCAGACACGGTACGAATATATTACATCGCTCCAAGTTGCCTCCCCGATGTAGGGAACGCTTTTACCAGATGGTCCGATGGAAAACTCAAAGTGATTTCGACATGGTAAAAAGAGACTAGAAGTGCTCCCAAAGCCTATTTGCAGGGTTCACGTTATTCGAAAGGCGAGCCGTTCACTCGCAGGGATTTTTACGCTTTTGAGCGAAGCAATTACATCGGCAGCGTGTACGTTTGGCTCTATTTGCATGTCTCTTGATACCTCCGAGGCAGGCATTTTTATACCAGCTTCAAAATTACCTTGCTACCTTGATTACGCAAATGCTCTCATTTGCTATACCTGTCATATCACATTTTCAATAAGGACCATAAAACCATCCCTAGTAGCATAGAATAATTACTAAATATTTCTTTGTAATCTTTGCTAAATATCCCAAGCGACAGATTTTTTAAGATTTAATTCGAAGATATGTAGAATATTTGTTGAAAATCTCAATGACATATTTAGTTTCAATAATCTATAAACATATATAGAAATTATATTTTTTAATTTATGAACGCGTAATAAAAATACATTTTTTACTTCGCGACTATTATCGGACATTTCATTTGGTATCAAAAAGACACGAGAAATTTTTCTAATATTTTCGTTCCGCTATTTCATTACGGGAGCAAAACGTGTGATTTGGATTTTAAGTATTTTTGAAACGTTTATAATGTATTCGGTGGATAATATTTAAGAAATACTTGTATTAAAATGAAACGAAATGTTTTGTATATCTGGTGGAAAAATATCATGAAAACACGTGGAGCTAATATTATATGAATATTATAGGGATAATATTCTTAAGTAAACGTTTTACGAATATTTCAAATGTCTGGTAAACATTTACAAAATGTACGATATTCGTTAAATATATAGAAAATATAGGACAAATATTTTGTGCTACTAGGGATGTCAAATAATCGACCAGAGAAGCTTCAGGTTGTCTTCCAGGTTTACAAACTGCAGAAGATCACGCTTTTTATCCCGCCTCATTCTTACGAATTGCAACTGTCTGATCTAGAAACTGCTCAGGAGATGTAATGAATTGTATCGTTTGTTCTTTTTTCTTTACCACGTGTTCTTGACAATTGTGCGTCACGTGCTGATATACTTAAATGACCCCATGCCTATTCATCTCTGCCTTCCTCAGGAGTGGTACACGGCAAATTTAAAGTACATCCACAATCCCTATAGCCTCGGTTTCGCAAATTTCAATTCCACGATGCATTAAACTGCTTAAAAGACGTCATACAGTTTTCCATTTGTTGTATTGGTCTAAATATATGGTTATCGCAACTTGACCTGGCCCACTTTCCCGATGCGTCTTCTGTACCTGTTCACGACGTGCTGGGAAAAATTGCTTAAACGTCATTATACAATTTGCTATTTCTTCTTTTGGCATTAACTTACGGTGGTGCTTGACTCATATTGGCAACGGGTCTTCTGAATAAAACTTGTCATGTAAATTGAGCTTATAAAGTGTGCTAAAATTTGTTAATTTTGATCTTCTTGAGTATCAATTCGGAGAAAAGTTTCATA